CTCTGCAACCATCACGACCAGTCCCAACAACCTATCCTACCGAGCACCACAGTTTCTGCCTTCCAGAGCCTAAGGGGCCTAGAACTACAACCCCACTTGCCCTTGCAGATTCAAGCCATAAGACCGAGAAATTCCAGACCCTGAACGCCGGCCTTGTTGCTGATGTTCGGGCAAACCTGCGCACCATTCGTAAACTGGGCTTGGCCTAGAACAGTACTGTGCCCACAATCCCTGTGATTTTGCGCTTCAGTTTCTCCACTATGTGGTGCGTAGATGTGGGAACTCATGAAGGTACCAGGGGCTCAACCACCTTAAAGTCCAAACCTAGAATATTGTGTAGAACTTAAGCTTCAAGGTGGTTGCAACCTTTTCCCATGCAAAGCTTCGCTACACATCTATAAAATGCTACCCAATACTGGCTGAAGATTTCCAACCAATCTGTGCTTGGTCAGAAGGGGGGAAACAGTTCTGTACGAATGTGCTGCATGATTCCGCATATTATTGCCCATGCTGCATGCAGTAGAAGTGTCTCACAGAAATAAGATAATCCCCCTTAAAGGTACCCCTAAACCCTAAGCATCCCTATATAACCCCTATAATCCCCTTTGAAGGCAATTTTGGGAAACAGAAGCTGCCCCAGCCTCATCGCTACCAGAATGGTCGAACAGAGAGGGCTGCCTTCCACAGCATTTGCATTTTCTTTTCCATTATCCCTTAGGTAACCCATTATAATAGTTTCCATGTCATTTTCCATCACCCCTATATAACGCCCTGTATAACCCCATATACCCCTTTAAAGGAACAAAACAACCACGCCGCTTGGGCTGAAATCGAGCTTTTAAGATACACGGGTCCCAACAAAGTATGTAAGCAGACTGTATGCCATCATCTCAAGGGCTGTCGATGGCTATGGCTTTGGGGAAGCGTCTTTCAACTTAGATCCACTTGAAACCTCCATGGATCCTCAAGCTCAGAGCTCGCCATGCTAACTTGCAGTTCTCAGGAGGACAGGCTGCTAGTGACCCTTTGCGAAACCATGATTGCTCTATGTGATGCAGCCCAGCAATTATTTGTGTTTTGAGTAAGTAAATTGGCTTCCTCTCACCAGTGAAAGAAACCGAAGAGAAAGCAGCCAAGGACTGGAAAGGGGGCCATGCAGACTTCCGCCTTCTCGCGCATCGATTTTTGTGAGGCATGACTCAGTGACTGCTGATGTTTTTCCCTCGTCATCCAGATGGCTCTGTATGTGCAAACCACCCCTGTCAGCGCCCAAAGTAATTGCTACGATCACCCCATTACCACTTCAAATTGTCATGTTACATAAACTCCATGTAAGAATTTCCAAAAAATAACTAATTATCATCCCCAGAAGTCCAAGAGCATAGAATGTGCCTGACTGCGCACACCAGACCCTAGTCCCCTAACCCTAAGCCCTGCCCCCGAGCTTGCAGCCTAAATGAAATCCCAAGTGGCTTGCCCAGAAACCTCTGACCCTGGAGCGCAATCCTCGAGAAGTTCTCAGGGATTCAATGCTTTGAACTCAGGTCTTAGGATTTCGAGTCGAGGGTGCTGTGGATCGCAGGGTTCAAGGTCCAAGGACTGTGACTAGGATGAGGGTTCTTCACGGATTTGTTCCTGACTCCCGTGTCGACTTCTTGGAGCTTCTGCTCTGTTTTCTTGGGACATCAAGCCAGATTAGTTCTTTGTGGTGTGTCGAAGCTGCATCTTCTTGGGTTACACGGTTCAAGGGTGTCTCGTGACTTCCTATATCACGCTTGATTTTCCATACGCAGGTTTTCCAGGCTCCCTAGGATCCAGCTTTAGAGCGGCCTCTCTACGGCTGGATTGGTCGAGGCCCCAAAGACATGTAACAAAGCTTTTCGAGATTCAACACTGGCTACCCGACTATGTGACGTTGACGAGAAAACTCCGTGGAGGGGTCTGATGGGGCTTTCTTGTAGAAGCTCTGCTTAGATCGTCATGGGGATCCATTCCCTCAACCCCTACTGACCCTACTGACTACAGTAGGTATTCTCCATAAATAAGCCAATATAGAGCCCATAATACTATCATCCCTAAGATGCGGATCCCCCAAGAGGTACCCGTAATTTGAGGGAAGCTTGAACCCTTAACCCTATACAACCCTGTAGAAGCTCTATATCCCCGTTAACAGTAACCCTAATTTTGGGAAACTGCCCCAGAATTGCATGGCCAGCTTCTGATGCTCCACGTCGTGAGCGTTTGTCCAGCCCCATCGGATGATGACCTGAAGTTTGGGCTTCAGGGTTTCTGACTGGCTTAATGAAGGTTGTTTATTCGCACTGCCTCTTGTGGATTGAGATATTATCCCTGAATGGAGAATCAAATGGACCATGAAACGGAAAATGACATGGAAGCTACCATACACAGATAGATAGACAGGTAGATAGGTAGATCGACCCCACTTTAGGGTGCTCAGGTCAGGCCCTGCAGAGCAGGGGTCCATGTCTTGGGTTTAGGGTTAGGGTTTATTAGGGTATAGGCTTAGGGTTCATTAGGGTTCAGCTAGGGTTTAGGGCCATCTGGTGATTTCGGGAAAATTCCATCTCCTCGGCTTCAACCTTTTCACAGTTCCGTAAGTCTCTGAACACGTGCCCTCTGTCAACCATGATTTAGGAAATCGCAATGTGTGCCATCCAGAAATGTAAAGCTGCGCAGGGAGACTCTCGAACAAGCTGACTAGTCATTGCGTTCTTACTTGCCCTGGAACACCACAAGATGTTTTTGCTGTGTATTGGGGGGGGGGTTATCTTTCAAGAGCTCCTTGCAGCTCGGCTGCGGTATCGATGTCTCCAGCGGCCAATGGCCGCTGTCTAGCAAAGGTGAAGTCGACGCCCCCAGGCAAACCAATGATCCTGATTGGGGTTTTGTAGTTGGCGGGCAAGGGCTCTGCTTTTATGAGGGCTTGAAAGTTTGGGATATGAAGCATCAGGCCATGATTCGGCTAGTTCAAGGTGGCAGGGTCAGGGGCTGAGGGTCTACAAACTAGGATTTCCAAAGTCGCATGGAAATGTCACGGGTTTAGGTGTCGGGTTCGGGGGGGGCTCAGTTTTCTTTAGGGCCTGTATGGTTTTGCTCGAGGTTTCGAAGTCCTGGGCAGACCTCTGGGTGGTACAGTTGGAAAAGGTTGTCTATGTGGGACTCCCCGTCTTGTGTCGTTTTGGGCTCGCTATACTATGGACGATATTCATTTACACTTACACAAGACGTTTTTTCTGCCTGCACAGAAACGACGGCGAAGGATTCAAAGGGGAAGCTCCTACTGTCCCTCAGACGCAGCCCTTGCCATAGGAATCCTCTCTGGGTTTTATAAATAAAAATAATATTAGCAATAGTAATTATAGCACCAATAGTACAGTGTCAATTCCTTCACCAAGCTCGTCTTCGTCCGAGGTGCTGCCATCGGGGGTCATGCACGTTAAGAACCTCACACAGGATCTCCTTGGCAGGCCGACAAAAAACAAAACAACAACGCCGGCAAGGCTGCTTGTGATTGTAGCAGAAGCAACATTAGCAGTAGCTAAACCCCAAAAGTATGTAAAATAATAGCCCTAAACCCATAATAATAGCCATAAAGGCAATGATTTTACATACTTTTGGGGCCCAGGTAGCAGTAGCAGCAGCATAGACACTGCTGGGCCTGGCTCTTGTTCCTGACTCAGTGATACGCGCAAAAGTTAGGCTACTTTACAGGCTTGGATTTACTTTACGATCATCGTCATTGCTGTCGGTGTGTTACAAAAACAGGGATCAGATCCGACAAGATGCGCACACATGCGTGCAAATCTTGAGGGGTGGTGCTTCGGCTGTCTCTGAGCAGGGAAGTCCACTGGAGGGCATCGCGCTAATCTGGGTAAGCCAGAGACATATGCAGCCCTTTTCAATTTTGATGTAGCTTTGAAGTATCTAGTAACTAGTACAAAGTTGTGCGCCGGGAGTCTGTGATGACGTAGACCGTCTTCAGGCCGGGGAAGGACTGCGAATGCTCCACCTACATGTACGGCCAAGTGAATGCTTGCGTTTGAAAACTCGCGTGATTGTGTCATTGCAGGTGTAAACATGAAGCTTTTGGAGGAATGTCCTGTTTTGCCGTTCACTAGATACAGCGGCCCTTTTGTTGTCAGGCATGCATCAATAGTTTTCCATGACAGTGTGCAAACCTGCAGGCACCACAGACGAAGCCTGAAACCAATTCTTTGTAGTTAGCCAGTGATCGTTCAGCAAAGCCTGCTCATGCAGGCCTCCTGTGCAACCATGCGGCAAAAATCCTGCCCCAGGTTTGCTATCCCTTCTAGCCTAAAATTTTGCTCTACAAACTGTGAAGGCTTTAGCGCCTAAAACCTTCAGCCGAACTCCTTGATTTGCCACCGCCTAAGGCATCGTCCCCGCACAATTCCTGCCTCCTGGTGGTAATCTGCAAGAGAGACGGACATCCCTTCCCGCATCCACTCCTGCAGGCGGGATGCTGAACACCGCACGAGAGAGTCACTCTCAAAATTGATGTATGCTAGAACTCATAGCTCTATTGAAAGCAGCGATATAATCGGTTCTGCCTAAAGCTCTCAAATGTCGCCAATTCTGAAATCAGTAGCTCCGTATATAGATGTTTGCACAGAAGCAAGTTCGGCCCCGATTCGGGGCTAATAACGTTGACCAGCCCTCGCATGTTGGCTCTGCTCTGGCTGCCTCTTCTATGCCCAGCTTGCTGAAGAGCACCTGTGAGAGGGGCTGTCAGCGGGTTAAAGTTCAGAGCGACAAGTATCCCTATCATCGATACCGGATTCACCCGTGCAACTGCTCGTTGCCTGAGCCCTCGAGAGCCCCATGGCGAAAATCCTGTGAGGTCATATAGATTCCCAGTCTCCTGCATTGTCCCAATCTCTGCACTGAACGATTGCGAAGAGAATCAAACGTTGTATCTTCCAGGACAAGGACGTGTTCATCATTACAGATAAGTTCCTCTATGCCATGTTGCTAATCCTCTTCTTATTCTGCACTTCTTCGGGGCTCGTCTTGCTGTCAAGTACCAGCATAGTCTCTCCCGAGATGCTTCTTACCTTGACGTCGCATTCACATCTTCGCGCTGACAGGTCTCGAGGCCGCTTTGTGGGCAACATGCGCAGAACAATCTGGCGAGCAATATCGTGTAGGGCCTCCTATGTAACATGAAAACACCAGAGGTTTGCGAGCATGCCCCACATACTCTTCTGCAATTGCTCCGCCCAGCTGCTTCTGAACATCAACTTGGAGTTGCCGGTATCACTCACTCTTTGCTAATCCCTGCTAGAACTTTTGTTACTGTTACCGGCATTCTTTCATGGTATGCCAATTTGTGTCCCGGAACCCTAAACCATAGACCCTCCCTCTGAACCCCAAACCTTGAAACCCAAACCCTGTTGGCTTTGAAGGTGGGGCCTCCCGCGCTGCATCATCCCAGGTCTGGGCCGCCCGCATGCGCATGGACAGGGCCCGCACACCTCCGCCACCAAGGGAGGAGGTAGGATTAGGAAGATGTTTGTGGTGCCTAAATTTGGATGATATAGGGGTTGCCTAGAGGCTACATCAAGAATGATACATAAGGAATGAAGTGGGGTATGATGAGAATATCTTCGGCGTCATGTACTCGTCCAACAGAGAACCTCTGGCTTGCACAGGGAAGTGCGCAGGGATTATCGCAAGGTTGCACCTTCTTAACCCCTCGTCACACTTGCTAGTACACTGGTGGGCGTGGTGATGGTAGTGAGAATGATGATGACCGCTATGGCGTTCCCCTGGTCTGCATGACAAGAGCCCACTCCGATCTTTGCCGAGTCTGGCATGAACCAGGGGAAAATGGGTTCCATGCTGTTCCAGCGGCCTTTAGAGCCCATTGAGACGTTTGAGACTTAGAGCTAACTTCGCGGCCCAAACACTACGCACAAGGCCGGACGTTCACATGTGATGACCGCATTCAGGATTTCGGGCGCTGGGTGTTGCCTCAGCTCGCCTTGTGAAGCCTGCAGAACCTTCTATATAGACGTTACAGCATGTGCAAACCAGGAAACGATGAGTTGGAATCTTGTGGCAGCTCTGTTGACATTGCCTTTCTCAAGTTCCTCTTCAACTATGCTGCAAATTGAGCTCTTGGTTCGCATCAAGCATTAAGCTTGCAGATAAGAAGTGAGGCTTCCCCACCGAATTCGAAACGCATAAATGGAGGCCTCTCCACACAATCTGGCCCAAAAGCAATGAAGCCACATTGTGCTATCGAGATGTCCAGAAAATTAAAACAAAATATTTCCACAACTTGGCATATGAGCCCCCCACAAAAACCCATAGAAGATGTCACGACGCCATCTTTCAAAACTGTGTGTGCAACCCAAATGAGACACAACCCCGGCTTCTATGATCCCATAAGAAACAGGCAAGAGGCCTGGAACTTCAACAGGAACTTCAACAGTTTCTTGCGGGTTTCCCAAAATTATGGGTACGACTTTGGGGTCCCCATAATATGGACTATGGTATTTTGGGGTCTGAGGCCTGGAACTTCTACAGTCTTTCGTCTCTGCTGCTTGGTCTTCATGACCAGGACATGCCTTGCAAGCTGGGATGCAGTGCAACGAGGTGACAAGCTAAGCTCTGACAACCCAGGTAACCCAGCTGTACTTATGGGGTTTATTTTGGGGGTATAAAATGGGCTTACATTGAGGTTAAATTGGGGTTATATTGGGGTTATATTGAGGCTATGTTGGGCTTACACTGGGGTGATATTGGGATTGCGTTGGGTATATATTGGGGAGATATTCAGGTTATGTTGGGCTTACATTGGACTATGTTGGGGTGATCTCGGGTTTATTTTGGGGTTGTATTGGGTTTATATTGGTCCAATATATATTGGGGTTATATGGGAGTTATATTGAGGTCATGTTGAGCTTACATTAAGGTTATATTGAGGTTATATTGTTTTTTGGTGTTATATTGGGTTTATATTGGGGTTATGTTGGTTTTATGTTGGGGTTCTATTCAGGTTATATTGGGTATATACTGGGTATATATTGGGTATATATACTGGAACGCCACAAACTCAGAGAAGAGCCTTGACATCGTAAACCCTATGAAGCCCACTTCCTGCGTACGGATACATACACCCATACCGGCCCTATAATCCCTGACGCGGCCCTGATGTTGGGCGAAATTCTGGCGAGCGGCCTGCAACCTAAGATGTCGGCCGACAGCCACACTTTCACGATGCGAACTGTCCTGGCACATACATACATACATACATACATACATACATACATACATTAGTGCATGCATGCATGCATGGAGGTCGCCAAAGTAGGGATCCCTTTTTCAGTTCCCGGTATTTGAGCAGCATGTGATGCATGGGGACATCCTTGGCGATGGAAACACGCATCTCTCACTGCATATCGGTACACATCCTCACATCTCCTTACACATGGGAATTTACATGATCTATTGCTTTCAAGGAGGGGATCCTCATACAGGAAGTCTATTTGAATCAAGCCCCCACAGCGCTCGACAACCCGTTATGCCGTGTGGACAGGAAGTGCGCAGGGCTTTTTTACTTGCCACGAAGGGCAGGTTGAAACAGCGAGCTTGGAAAGCAGTACCTCAACGTGATTCACAGATCCAAAAATCCGTTTTCCAAAGCCGCTCCCATAGATTTTAGGTTTCGGGTTTAGGTAAGTGTATTCCGAAATTCATGTGGTTTCCAAACAGTAATTACAGGAGATTGTAGGACATTACCTGGTCATAGCCTGAGTTTTTTCCCGTCTAGGGCTGTTCTCAGTCAGGGGGAAGCTCTCTTCTCTGGGTCTGACACTCACGGGATCTGAAGCTTGAGATCCAAGTCTAGTTTAGGGTTTAGGGTTTAGGGTTTAGGGTTTAGGGTTTAGCGAAGAGATGCAGGCCCCACATCGAAACGCCCAAATCCTAAACTCATCCTAGTTCAAAACACGCACAGGGGAATCAGGAATAATATTCCCCTGCAACTGCTAGAGAGGTCTTGGAATACATCTAAACACAATGGTACATGTTATACCTATTATATGCAGCCCAGAACCCCACCTTAGGAATTCAAAGACTCCTACCCTAAACCCTATACCCTAAAACCCTAAAACCTAAACCCTATACCCTAAAACCCTAAACCCGAAACCCCTAAACCCTATACCCCTTAGTTGAGATCCTCAGCAGCTCGTTATCAATCTCCTGCAGCTCTGAGAGGCGGTTGGTGTAGACCTAGCGGCAGCGCACTTTAGGAGTTGGGGGTTAGTAAGGAATAAGGGAATATAAATCCCTATGTAACCCCAATAATATATTCCCATATTCCCTACTAACCCCCAGTAAGTTTAGGAGTTGGGGGTCATTTTAGTGATCTTAGTTTGGGACTAGGCAATTTCTTCTCAGCTTAGCCTGCGGCAAGTAGGGTGTTGTAAAGAAAGGTGTTGGTGTCTGATATAGCTTCATGCTCTTATTTGCATAATTATTCTAGAAACTTGCTTGAGGTTTGTGTGTGAGCCATTTCAGGAATCCCCTAATTCATGACTGGACTGCACTTCTTCAAGACTCCAATTGCGCAAGGTTTGGGTTATGTGAAGTTGAGCTCTACCAGAAAACAACGATTTTATGGGGTGTCGTGGGGTCCATGCTGGGATACCAACCGAATGCCAATGCTCCCGCCCTGATCCTCAACCATGCGACCTCGTCGTACAGCTCGGAAAAGCTCTGCCAGGAAAACCTAGCGGTTGCAACATGGGCTGGACAAATCATGGCCGGCATTGCATGGATTGCGTGGCTCCTGGTTGGCATGAAGGGATCCAGACTACAGGCAGAATTGATTGGCTTGTTCAAGTTGACATTCTGCCACTGGAGACAATCTGCAAGGATTCTACACCCCAACTTGCACATGGAGCTTAGCTAATATGCCTTCGTTCTCGCAATCCTTTCGCCACTACAACCCTACTACAGCACTTCTTCTCCACACATGTCCTCGTGAAGGCGCTTCTCAGAATTGGCGTCCTCGAAGAAACTAAATGAGACAATCCCCACTGAAACATGAGAGGCAGGACTATGATTTTCGCAAGTCTCTTCTCTAAGTTCCCGTATAGTGGTAGAAAACCTGAGTTCAGTCTGTTCTTAAGAGTGCTGATAGCAGACAATGAAAATATGTTTAGGGAACTTCCTGGCCATGATTTCATGTGGCATCTTTTCGCAAAATCTTTTTGAGGGCTGCCGCGGAGCTCTGCCACGTCAATGGCATACTTCTGGAGGAGGTTCATCAACTCATCCTCCTGCGCAAGAGTTCAGTGATCTGTTGGAGTGTGGCCCCTCGCTATCCAGCTTGTTGGGTTTCTTTCGGATGAAATTCCCCGCAGGCTCTCCGAGAGGCCTTTCAGCTTCAGATTTCCAAGCATAGCAAAGGACTGGGCATATGGGATGTGAGTCTGGAAAACCTTTGTGCTGCAGAGAGCCATAGATGTGGCGTGGGTTTCACGCATAACGACTACAAGTCTCACTGGTGCTCCGTCATGAGGATGTGACTGTGTAGAGGTTTGAAAGCTGAGGGATAAGGGCATCTAGATTCTGGTGTCGCAGGTTTCGTCCGTTTGCATGAACACGCACAGGTGGTCATGCAAAGTTAAGCGGCACCAGGCTTCTGAGAATACAAGCGCAGGGGTAGCAATCGATTGTATGGACACAACAGCAGACATAGGCAAGCACATTTAGGAAGGGCAATTTGTTCTTGTGGCTCCGCTCCTTGTTGTCATTTGCAACGGGAACCCAGGCCCAATTGCGCCTGAGCTTCAAGAAGCAATCCAAAAACAGCAGCCACCGTGCAAGGATTTTTTGTTGAGGCCGGCAGATGACAGGAAGCAGTGCCGAGGAACCTACTACAAGGCATTGCACTCAATTTGGGTAGAAGTTGGGCTCAACCAAGAAGCCCTTTAATGGGGTGCTGCATTGCGTTACTTGGATGGATTGCTAGGACCCCCAAGATCTTGAAAAGCTGCGTGATTAAGTTTTTACATGATCTCTACCATCCAAAGCATATTCTCTGCACAACCCTAAGGAATCCAAAAAAGACCATGCTGGCAAGGGACTTCCCGTTCACGTCAGTGCTGAAGTCGGCACCACTCGGCAGCCTAACCCAACGTGGGTGCAATTCAGGAAAAGAAACTTCTTGTATGAGTGGATATCCGGACTATTTCAGCTATAGTCTAAACTCCTCGCATTTCCCTTAGTAACCCCTTGTAGCGCTCCCCTACATAATCCCCTATATCACCCCCTTGAAGGATTGTAGACTATAGCTCATCTGAATATTCATTCGAGCCACCCGATCTTCTTCAGCTCCTCGCGCGTGCGATCCTGCCGCAAGGAGACTTCAAATCATTGCACAAAAATGTTATGTGAGCTACAGTCTAAACTCCTTAAATGGGGGTTATATAGGGGATTATATTGGGGACTACTATAGGGGTTATTAAGGGGGATACTAGGAGTTTAGACAGTAGCTCATGTCGTCAAAATGTCAGGGCATTGAAAACGTGGGTATACGCATAGAGAGAGACACAGGGAGGATAGCTGATACCATGAAGGTTCCTGTTACTGCTGCGCAGAAATGCAGTATGTAGCTGGTATGACTCATTTGACGCCAAATCCTGTCTAACCAGTCACTGGGTTGCATTTTAAACTTGTGTTCCAGGCAGGCCCTAGATTTAACGCGTTGCTCATCCACCAGCTAAATGCGGGCATGTATAGCTTAAACGGCTATCATGGGAAGCTGCTAGCTCGCATTTTTCAATCCCTAGGATCTGTAGAGTGGGTCTTGCCTTGAGGCACATCAGGTGCCAAAGCCCAAGGCTCGAAAGGCAGTAACATACGTGCCCTTGTCTAAACTCCTAGTATGCCCCTTTAATAATCCCAAAAGTCGTCCCCTATATAATCCCCTATATAACCCCCATTAAGGAGTTTAGATTATTGCTCATCTAGGCATGAGACCCTTGTCATGTCGGGTGAACGCATAATTTATTAGGGCTCTCTTGTTTATCTTTGTTTGAGGAGTTCCTTTGACAAGACCAAAATGTTTACGGGCCTATAAGAGGACCCCTCAGCTTAGAAACATCTATATTGTGTTTCTCCCAGCCAGGGCGCCCAAACTGTAGACAAGGATTGAAGGGGATTCGACTCTCCGTGATCTGCGTCCATCTCAAGAAGTACACAGGGATCATCGCAAGAAACAACCTACCAGATCACTGGGGCCCAGAACTTCAATCCGAAAACCAGATACCCCACCCTAAATGCGCCATATTCCACTCTCCTTCCAGGGGGTGATTTCATATACTGGATTTTCTCGCGGACTACTATAGGGGTTCTTAATAGGGATGCTAGGAGTTTGGACTATAGCTCACATGCCACAGTCCAACGGAAGCCTTGATGGTAACGATGATGCTGTGAGCCTGGCGGGCTTTGGGCAAGCCTTCAACTTCTAAGGCACCCTCTGCTGATCGTAAACAATGGATTTGGTAGTTTCCAGAAATAGGGGACCTGTTACAGACTTTCAAATACTAAAATCCTTGTTACGGCGATCTGCAAAATGGTACCCTAATTTGTAGGACGCCCCCATTTGCGGACACGGGTATGTAAGGTAAGCCTGTCCGAAGAGCACAGGCCTGCTGGGGCACATATCACGAACGTGGCCCTCCCCCCCTGCCCTTTGTAACCGTAATTTCGACAATGGCCCATGTGTGCCTTCAGAATAATGGCCATCTGGGTGTGAACAGGACAACTCAAAAACAGGATCCGTTATTCCTGCCACTGCTGTGGCAATCCCTTCATCTCCTTTGCACAAGCACAGCAAGAATGGTCGAAGTAGCAACCAAACAGAAGCACCAATACAGGATTCCAGAATATATCAGGAGGCAAGTCCGGGAGCATCATGTGTCATTGGTTTGAGGGTTGCTCCGCTACCACGGGTCCATGGGCATGTAGCTCTGAGCATATGCTCTGTGCATGCCCGACAGTGGAGCAAACTCGGACCTTGTACTTGCTCACAATCCCCGGAACCGTGTCGGACTCCGCCGTGTTCTCTTCCACAGAGTAATTGTCCTGGGTGCTTGGGTAGAGAGCATAGCCCTGGAATGGCTTCTTCGGACAATATCAGGTAATGCATGGCTTGGCAATTTGAGGGCACATGCTCTCGAGGCTTGGCTACACTTGACTGCTTTATTTAAAGTAATGGACAAAAAACAGAAAACGTACCGATCAGAGACCCGGTGTCTGTGGATACGGTGAAACAACTTCTTTGTACCTGCCAGGATGGACAGGCCTTTTGATCTCCCTTGGGCACCGTAGTCTGCTCTTCAAGAAGAGCTGCAGTAAGAGGTCTTGTGCACAGTGGACACATTTCGCGGGGAGGCGACTCGCTTTAAAACATCTTGGCAGGGACCTGAGGCAACAGCGACAGATAGATATCTGTCCCATGCCGCAAGCCATACATGGCCACATCATACACGTCCGCTAGCACAAACTGATATGAGCTATAGTCTAAACTCCTAGTATGCCCCTTAATAATCCCAATAGTAGTCCCCTATAAAATCCCCTATATAACTCCCTGAAGGAGTTTAGACTATAGTACATATGGGTCCAGTGGACTTGGAATGGTCACAGGCCCAGAGCCTTTCGTTTGGCTAGAAGAGGCCTGTGGCTCAAGCTCGGTTCAAGGCAATGGAAAGCAGGCTTCCTGGATCTAGGCTCATGTAAGCCTTGCATCAGCAAATAATTCGGCACCATGCCAGGTAAAGAATTCTATTCCCTTCAGGGAAACACGTCATGTATCAGGAAGGTGTCATTCAAGGCTGAGGCGTGATGAAACTCAAGGGTGAATGAAGTTTACTTTAGCGCACTTGAAATCAGAGCCTCAAAGCCTAGTCCGAACCCTGAACAGAACCCTCCAACCTCGGCCCTCAAAGCTTCAAACCCGAAACCTCAACTATCAACCCCAAAACCTGTTTTTGCGCTACGCCTGGAACTCGCATAGCCCGTTCTCCGAACGAGGCATCGAACTTAAACTCTAAAATCTACAGACACCAAACGCCGTCCCCAAACCCTCAAACTTATACCTTACAACCCTGGCTTGCCCTGCACAGCGGCATGGCCTCATTGCTAAGGTTAAACTTTGATTCGAAACAGTGCTCCATCGCTTCCTGCGGAGTCAGCTCTTGGGAGCACGGGCATTCGAAGTCCGAGACACGGGGTTTATCATCCTGGGTTTCGGCTTTTCACGGACAACAAAGGAGCAAGCAACGACAACGACGGCCGGCAAACACTACCGGCTGCTACTCTCCAATGACCACAAATGACAACCACTGACCACTAGAATGCAACTACTACCATTCCTTTCAATCTAAGGGAAACGATTGCATCTCTTGCGACTGCTGCTCTTTGAATTTGAAGGCAAACAAATGCAAACAATGAGTTCGCCGTGATGCTATGCATCGTGGTGTTGACCATGTTGTCATCACAGTTTGGTTTAGTGTTGTTCAACTACAGATACCACTTGGGAGGATCTATATATGGAAATTACTCAAGAGTAGTATGGAGTACCATATTGGGGGTTCTACTCTGCAGGGTAGTGATAGTTGCTAAAGGAGCTGACATCATGATTTCGCAGCCCGTGTCCCGCCAGCGACCTTGCTCCCGAATGCGCAACACCTGCGGGCTTGGATACGCAGGCATAAGGTTTAAGGGTTTGTGGTTCAGGCTTCTGGTGAGCTGCAAGGGTTCAATCCTATCAGGAAGCCGTCTAGAAAGGCTCCTCAAAGGGCAAAAGTAGCAGCGTCTTAGATGAATTTGCTGTGTTCCCACCCTGATACGTGAGGCAAATATCATCATCGGCCTTCAACTTGAGGGCCTCTAGTAAGTGGCAAAGTCTGCTTGCCCATAGTACCGCTGAAGCAGCTTGTTATCTTTGATACAACTAGACAACATGGTTAATCAAGGGCGCCCGCAGTAAAAGCTGTCGTGGGATACAAGACCCTAGGCGGCTAGCCCATCCGCTGCTAAGCAGCTGTTTTGTGACGTCCGGATGGGATGATAGCGCTGTCTGATGAGTGCTGCTGTGAGGGCAAGGCTCCTGCTGTATAGGGAGACGGAGCAGAAGGCATCATGTCTTAGCAGTGTGCGCAGCAAGCACCACTGCGCGACGCTGTCTCTGGACCCCTCAGCATTCTAAATGTCCCAGAGACAGAGACAGAGCCGAGAGAGAGGGATCTCATGAACACTACAAGCTCCACAGATCCCAACAAAAGTGCTTACAAAGACATTCTGAATATAAAATGCTCATCCCAGAAAGTAGCGCACTTCTTGCTACGACTTCTGCCGTTGTTTGCTTCGAACCCTTTCACATACAAGCGAAGCCGCACAAAAACTCATAAGGCAGCAAGGTAGTAAAGTTACCCAGGCCCCTTTCGAAGAGAGCCCATCTCCAAAAATAACATGCAGCCCGAAAAAGGCCACCAGACTGCTGGGCAAGCTGGCTTCCATATTAGTCCGGGGAGTCAAGGTAAGCCATGGGCCCTAAACCCTAAGCCGCATACACTCCCATATGCCCCGCTGCATCAGCCTGATATGGGGATTTCCTGAAATTAGGGGTATCCCTTTTAGGGGTCCCTATTTTAAGGACTATAATATTTTGGGGTTTATATTGGGGTCCCCTAGTTTCCATGTCAGTTTGGAGGTGGGTAGTGCCAGGTTGGGGTTTGGGGGCCTAAGTCCGCCCTCTTAAAGCTCTATGGTGCATTTTCTGGAAAGAATCCCTCTGTACCCTTTGAAGGGGAACCCTCTGCAAAAGTGTGGGTCCCTTGTTGGAGGTTTGCAGGAAGAACGTGATTGAAGCTTTGCGCATGTGAAGGAGGATCCCAAATCATTGAGAAATGCTGACTCGAAAGTTAGCAGACTTCTTGAAACAATCCTGCCTTACCGTGAATCTTTCTGGGGTAGCCCTGCTCTACACCCGGTGCACTGTGGAAACTGAGCAGAGGACCATTGCGAGCGGCTGATTTCTTTCCTTGCACATATGGTGGAGGCAGACAGATGCCTACAGCAGCTAATGCTACACGCTCCACAAAAAAGGCCACTAAAGAAAAATCCGCATGTCTATACACAAAATGAGGCTACAAACCTGTAGGACATTCCAAGCATAAGTGGATCGGAGTCGTAGAAACAAAGCCAAACAAGTACTCTGAACATCTGCAGATTTCACCTGATTGCACCCTGCTGCAACAGCTGTACCGAAAAGTGAGCATCTTCCAAGCTGTCTTCTAATGCAGCCCCCCAGACTCGACTCCATCTAGAGCATTTCGAAAAAATTG